AACCATGTATCCTCTCTATGAGAGTAACCTAAACACTCAAACCAAACTTGCCTAGTTGATATTTGTAAAGCCTGAAGAGGCTAGGGAACAAAGAATACTCACTACTAGCCAGAAGTGGCTGATAAGAATATACTAGCGTTGGTGAGTGAAGCTGGTGGGCCAAGAGTGGTCGAGAATACTTGGGAAAACAGAAGTGGTTTAAGAATACCAGAGCTGGTGAGTGAAGCTAGCCAACCAAGAGTGGTTGAGAATACTCGTGATCAAGAGTGGCCGTGACCGGGATGGTCTAGAGTACTCAAGGCCTGGAGAGATCGAGAATACTTGAACCAAGAGTGGTTCTGACCTGGGTGGTCCATAATACTCATTGCTAGCCTGAAGAGGCTAATAAGAATATACTAGCGTTGATGTGTGAAGTCAACGGGCCAGAAGTGGTCGATAATACTTATGTACTTAATTGCATATTTAGTGGAACCCTTCAGTTGAAGGAGACTGGACGTAGCTCAGTTGAGCGAACCAGTATAAAAATGATTGCATTGTTTTATTTATATGTCAGATGCAAACTCTTCTTAATTGACAAATCATGTTAAAAAATTTGTTTACTATCTACTTTTCATTAAAACCATTTTTCAGACGAAGACGCAAATTTTGTTTAACAAATATATTACACTGAAAAGTTTTATCTACTGATTATCCTTAAATGAAATTATCTTGAAAAGGAAAATGCAAGAACTTTAATCATTATTGTTATATGAACCATTTTCCTTCAGTAGACGATAAATCTTTCAGACGCAATGACCTTGTGTTAAGCAGATTCTGCATAACCGTCTAGTATCTAAAAGTGCATTGGACGAAAAACATTATTCTTGCGAAATTGGTTTAAAATTCCTTCTTACACACACACATATATTCAACCTCCCCTTCTATGTGTTTCATGTCTAACTTCAATTGGTATTAGAGCTTGACCCCTTGGGTTGAGCATCTAACAATGCAGGGGAATACAACGATCCATGGAAGAACGAAGGATTACCAAAGCAGACAAAGAAAAGGAGAATCAAACTAGCGGTGTAGGTATCAACTTCTATATCCTATTAAAATATACTCTAAATGTTGTAAGTGTTGATTATGTTAATACATTAGAATATTGCTATAATTACTGTTTCTGTTTCATCTGAAATACAACCTAAAAAACAAGCCTGACAAAACTTCAACGCTTGAATATTCCTTAGAATGCAGTAAGAAATTACGACGTCTGAGAATCTTAGTCTAATGAATAGTTTAGGTGACTTCCCATGCGTCTAAATATTCGGTCCTTGCGTCTGAAAATTTAGTCTATCATATTCTCAATTAATGATCCTCATTAATAGACGAATGAATCTGTTAAGGATAGTTGGAGACAAACATTCTCTGCATTTAAAGAATTAACTTTATTTAAATAAAAATAACAAAACGTCATTTGGGGTTTAAATTGAAAAGACATATCCTTTACCCTAGAATTAATGCGGATTGCGCGACACTCTGCACAAGAAAGACAAAAGGATGCCACGTCATACAAATAATAAAAATAAATGAAAACAAAAATATCTTTCTGTTTCAAAAATCTTTTTAACTACCCTGGCACACTTCATCTCGCTCTCTATGCTCAAACCCCTACACCTCTATGCACTCCTTCTATCTCTAAACTCACAAACCCTAAAACCCACAAAATCTGCTCATTCTCTACAATGGTCGAACAAGTTGGAAATGTTGAAAATGTCATCATTCCTCCAGAAAGGTGAGAGGCTACTGACTACACTCACACCTTTTCCACGGAGGAAAAGCTGGTGATGTACCTGGAACATCACTTCAATGTTCAGCAGCTGAAGGAATGGGGAGTCCCTATTTATGAGAACCTGGAAGATTATGGAATCTTCGGGTACTTCAACAACAGGGAAGTAATGTACCCTGGGCTAATAAAAATGTTTTATGATTCATTGGAAACCTCTCAGGAACATCTTGAAGGAAATGTGATTGGAGTCACCGTTAGGATTAACCTGACCACTATTGCACGAGCCATTGGGTGCGAAGAAGCTAGAAGCATCTACGACAAGGGATGGATATCTAATGCTGGTGGCATATCCCAAGTCACCAAAGTCCTTCACAGGGAATGTGAAGGAGGTACTCTAGCCTACAACAAGCTCGACGACATGGCTAAAGTCTTCTAGCAAATGTTGAACAAATTTATCCTTTACAAGATTGGAGGCAAGGATAGTATCTCAAACATGCACAGATTCTGTCTGTTCTAGATGATGACTGGAATTGCATTCAACCTCCCTCAAGTCCTCTTTCTGCACTGGCAAGGGTGCTTGAAAGAATGCAAAGAGTATTTGGTTCATACCATGCTCCTAAACAAAATCCTCTGGGATCACCACATTTACCACACCTTCTTCACTCTTGGAGAAAATGAGAAGAAGAGGATCCTAGCTTTGGGACAAAACAAAAGACTTGGTTCCATTGCCTTTGGAAAAGCTAATCTGGGAAAGATGTTTTTGAGTTATAAAATCACTGATCCCACCGAGATCCTGAAGATAAAGGAGAAGATCGGAGGAGAATAAGTAGGGATGTGCTCAACAAGAAAGCGCCAACACTCCTCATCTCCCAAGAAAGATGATTCAATGGATGATGTTGGTCAACCAGCAAGAAAGAAAATTATCATGCTAACATACGAAGATCCTGTGTTTGATGCTGATGATACCTAACCTATTGGGAAGGTTTTGAAGAAAAGAGCTCCTCCACCACCTGTTGCACCATCTTACCCTAAGAAGAAAAGGGATATAATGCTTGCATCAAAGGTGGTTATACCAGAGAAGTCAACAAACACTTCACCACCAGTGGTTGAATGCTGCTGACCCTATGGCTGAAGTCTCCGTCCCTTTAGCTTAGATTAGAATACTAGCAGACACATCTTCCTCCCACATCACTGTACATTCTTTAATAACTTCTTCTATAAATACTATCGCTTAGAGGAAGAGAAAGACTACCATCAAAATGGACCAGAAAACCTTGCCTCTATGACTTCTTTCCCTTCCATAATTCTTTCTCAAAGAATCGACAAACCCACTACTTTTAGAAAATATGCCTCCAAATACTTATGAATATTTGCTTATTTATCCTGGTGCAACAAACCCTGAGGGAAAAATGGAGCTGCTTCAGTCCATCCATCTCACCACCAATAGGGACGTCGTGAAGAGGAACAAAATTGGTCTGCGCTCAAATCCACGACCATACATCATTGATAAAATGATTAGTGTGCTTTGTGGTCGTTATCCCATCAGCTAGGTTGGATGCTATGTTTTGCATGCACCCACTACACACGTCCTGGGGTACTACATACCAGTGTACTCTTGGCTTGAGGAAGGCTCAAACATATTGGATGCTTCAGAGAATCTTCTACCCAACTCGCACGGGAACACTCACAAGTATGAAGTCATTCTGTCTAACAAGCCAACATATGGACCAGAGTACTACTACTTAGAGCAGCCTCCTCGTTTGGCTCCATTCTCCATTCTTGCTCGTCCACCCGCTTTTGGACTTAAACAAGAATCTCCTTCATCCTCTCCGTCCTCTTCACAACTAGCAAAAGATCAGCCCATACATCCTCCGTTTGTGTGTTCTCTATTGAAGCACTTCCCTAGCAAAAGATCAGCCCATACATCCTCCAGATGTGGTTTAAGAATACTAGAACTAGTGAGTGAACCTAGCCAACAAGGAGTGATTGAGAATACTCGTGACCAGGAGTGGTCGTGACCGGGATGGTCTAGAATACTCAAGGCTTGGAGAGGTCGAGAATACTTGGACCAGGAGTGGTTCTGACCTGGGTGGTCCATAATACTCAATGCTTGCCTGAAGAGCCTGATAAGAATATACTAGCGTTGATGAGTGAAGTCAACGGGCCAGAAGTGGTCGATAATACTTATGTACTTAATTGCATATTTAGTGGAACCCTTTAGTTGAAGGAGAATAGACGTAGCTCAGTTGAGTGAACCAGTATATATAAAAATGATTGCATTGTTTTATTTATATTTCAGACGTAAAGTCTTCTTAATTGACAAATCATGTTAAAAACTTCGTCTACTGTCTACTCTTCATTAAAACCATTTTTCAGATGAAGACGCAAATTTTGTTTAACAAATATATTACACTGAAAAGTTTTATCTATTTTTTATCCTTAAATGAAACTATATTCAAAAGGAAAATGCAAGCACTACTAGAAAAATTAAAATTAGAGAGGGAACAAATCCGTCACTAATCTTCATAAAATCCGTCACAAATAAATTAGTGACCGAATTTGTGACGGAAATGATTCCGTCACAAAATTTGGCGTCACAAAATATTTAGTGACGGATTATATTTTCCGTCACAATTAGTGACAGAATTAAGGCATCACAAACAATATAATTAACGTCACTAATTTCTAACAATAAATGTTTAGAAATTAATAAAAATCCGTCGCAATTTGTGACGCCTCTAAATCCCTCGCAATTTGTGAAGGATTGAGAGGTATGTGAATCCGTCACAAATTGTGATGAACGAATCCGTCACAAACTGTGATGAACGAATCCGTCACAAACTGTGATGCCAAGTATCCGTCACAAACTGTAATGACTATAATTGACTAGAATCCATCATAATTTGCGACGCCAGAATTCCGTCACAATTTGCGACGGATAAAATCCGTCACTAATTGGGCTGAATCCCTCACAAACTGGGCGTCTTTGATGACTAAATTTGTGATGAATAAACTTTTTAGAATTGTTTATTTTTAAATATTTTTAATAAATAAATAAAACAAAATATGTTTTTAATTATTTATAAAAATAAAACATTTTCTATAACTAGTTTGCTGTACACCTGCAATTTCGTAAACCTGTAAAATAAATAGAATTTTTTTATTTTTAAATTTGTATCATTTTATACCCTTGTGCTCCCATCATGTAAAAAGACTTGCACAACAATCCAGCTTCAACTGAGATCAAAATCACCTTGAACTATATTCACAACTCATCAAACTACAGAGGAAAAAAATATAACATCGTACTATTTTACTTACAGAGAAACTTATCAATTATTCAAAATTTAAAATAAAAACAAAGTCAAAAATGAATTCTTTCCATACACAAATAGACCCTCTTCCACTTGCTAGAGAGAATAATGGACTAGGCAAATAATGAAGAAACTACAGTGATGCTCTTATATCAGCTGATGATAGAACTGCAGTTGGCATGTTCATGTCATGGTCGGTGATAAACATACTTTGTTCTGGGATCCACAATGAGACCCTTTCCTCCATTCACTTCTAAGTCATGCCTACCAGATCACAAGTACAAAATGAATTAGAACCTATAATCTAAACTACATTTACAAGGAAATAGAAACATCAAACAAAATATATGCTACTGGTATCAAGCCCAAATACCTTCAGATATCAAGTGCATCATTTCATGAAAAAGAAAATGTTAATAGCGCACTCTTTATTATTGGTTGAAAACTTGAAATTTTATTGAGAATTATAACAGTCCACCTGTGCTTTACACTGTCTATGGACATGCGAAAAGCAACCCATTTTAATGAAAAAAAAAAGTTTAAATATATTTTTAATCTATCAAATATCTAGTAAATTTATTTTTAGTTTCTTAAATTTAAAATTGATTTTTTTAGTCCTTGAAAATTGATAAAAAAAAAAAATTAAGTTAATCCTACTGCACAAATGTCGTTAGTGAATTTGTAAAATAAAAACTCACCCATTACTGAATATTTTGCACAAAATTTATCCATTAGTGTCCTTGTTAGTGACAGCATCATACTAAATCCAACTAATGTTGTGTATAACCGACTCAATTTGACATTGTCAGTGATGCTATTAGTGATCTTGAGATACTAAAATAAGTTTTTTCCTCAAATTACAGAGACTAAAAAAATCATATTTAAATTTAAAAATCAAAAACAAATTTACTTAAAAGTTGAAGGACTAAACATATTTAAGCTAAAACAAGTTCAGAATGCAAAGAGAGAGTGTGCAGTGTGGGAAAATTTGACACAATGCTGACACGGGAATTTCATTCATTCCCAAATTAATGAGTCTTGCTTATGATTTTGTAATTCCCAACAAATTTCAATCAGTGTGTTAGTGTCACTCCTCTTTCATGGAACAACCTTATGAAAAGGAACAAATGATTAGAACACATGAAAACATAAAGACTCAACTGAAAGACGAAATATGGGATGGTCAACTGTTCGCGGGGTATCTGAAGAGCTGTAGTAATCTATCAACGTATACCACTTTCTTCCAAACCTAAAAGTTAATCGTCAATGACAATAACATGTATAGGATGTCCTTAAATATAGTTTTAAGTCTGTAAATAAAATCTGATTCGTCACGCACCAAATTGTCGACAAGCAACTGAAGCGCGAGTACAGTCAATTTTAGTCCAAGAGTTGGGTGAAGGACATATATTGCCTGCACATACCAGATTGAGAGATTAGAACAAAGACTACAAAGGCATAATCATAATGCTTTTAAGAAAACAGAAATGTTGCATACATGTAGATTGTGCTGGTGCTTCCTTCCAAGTATTTGTTGCAATCTTCTCATCCAACCTAGGTCCGGTTGCCTATTTATACAAAAACATTATCAAGAAACCATACTAATGAACATTGCATACAAATCAGGAGCAACCAATGATAGGAGTAACATAAATTTCACGAAGCAACCTGCTTATGTAAAATATTATTAACCAAACATCAAAACACAATTGTGTTACTATGTATTTGTTTATTCAAGTATGCTTCTCCTCAGTGGCATGTCTTGAATTAATTATAGAACAATTTTCCCAAACACTATCACCTAACCTCAAGTTTTGCTTCACAAAAATCTAAAGAATTTAAAGAATTTTAGCAATGAAAGCCTTTTTATTTATGTAATAAAATAATTCACATAATATAAGAACTAGTTCACCGATTAAGGTCTACCATTAGCTCATTCATAACCCTTGGCATATTTCATACCCCTAAAACATAAAAGAAAAGGACAAACCTGTAAATCCAATAATTCCATTATTTAACACTTACACTTGCAGAGATGCAGCAGAGTGAAAGTATACAATAGTATAAGGCTTCTGTATTATAGGCTCAAACTCCTGAAATTTAACACCAAGATGATTCTAAGTATATTCAAATAGTAAAAAGGGTAAGCCAAAAGAATACGGATTGAAACTTATGGTTATAATGCATAAATGAGTTTTAAGAGAAGTACACATGCCCAACATTGAAGATAAAAAATTATAATAGCTGAATTTATGCTTGTTAGCAGTAAAATATGTCGAGCTGAAGGGTAGAACTGAATCACCTTCACCACGTAAAGCACAAATAGCTCCAGATCAAGACATCTAAGCAAAAAGTGAGCCCCCACAACCACCATGACTGGACGACCCTCACTGTCTACCCCTCCGCGATAGCTGAAAAACATAAATACCTCTGAAATTAAATGTAAATATTAATCTGAACACATGCATGAAATCTTCATTTTGAATTGTTAAGTAATGCAAAAATAGTACACTACTAGAAAAATTAAAATTAGAGAGGGAACAAATCCGTCACTAATCTTCATAAAATCCGTCACAAATAAATTTGTGACGGAAATGATTCCGTCACAAAATTTGGCGTCACAAAATATTTAGTGACGGATTATTTTCTCCGTCACAATTAGTGACGGAATTAAGGCATCACAAACAATATAATTTTTGTCACTAATTTCTAACAATAAATGTTTAGAAATTAATAAAAATCCGTCGCAATTTGTGACGCCTCTAAATCCCTCGCAATTTGTGAGGGATTAAATCCCTCGCAATTTGTGAGGGATTGAGAGGTATGTGAGTCCGTCACAAATTATGATGACACAAAATCCCTCACAAATTGTGATGAACGAATCCGTCACAAATTGTGATGCCAAGTATCCGTCACAAACTGTGATGACTATAATTGACTAGAATCCGTCACAATTTGCGACGCCAGAATTCCGTCACAATTTGCGACGGATAAAATCCGTCACTAACTAGGCTGAATCCCTCACAAACTGGGCGTCTTTGATGACTAAATTTGTGATGAATAAATTTTTTAGAATTGTTTATTTTTAAATATTTTTAATAAATAAATAAAACAAAATATGTTTTTAATTATTTATAAAAATAAAACATTTTCTATAACTAGTTTGCTGTACACTTGCAATTTCGTAAACCTGTAAAATAAATGGAATTTTTTTATTTTTAAATTTGTATCATTTTATACCCTTGTGCTCCCATCATGTAAAAAGACTTGCACAACAATCCAGCTTCAACTGAGATCAAAATCACCTTGAACTATATTCACAACTCATCAAAATGGAAGGCTCCTGTTTAGTCAAATACCATTAAAAAGGTTCAAGAAAATAAAGAAGAATGATAATTAATACTGTGAAATTTTCGGTTCTTCTCCTTGGAATCAGCCATGATTCCTGAGATAGCCTCCCTAAGAGCATCACTCTGAAGCTTACTGCACAACCAACACCCAAAACAGATCAGAGACCACAAAAACTAGATTACACCACTTCCACTGAATACATTCCATTAAACAATTAAAAGCACTGCATTCACAGTGAAACGCGCGAACAAGCGAAGATATGCAACCGGAGACAGGTATAAGAAATCCGGATGGAAAAATAAATGAAAATAGGATAAAAAGGGGTGATGAACAGTACCAGGAGAACGGTGCTTCCGTGAACATCATTATGCACTGTTGCCGGAGGCGATTTCCGGCAACCGCAAATGTCGCCGGACACCGCCGCGTGCCGCCGTCAGAGGCGATTTCCGGTGGTGGCATCGTCGGCCTTTAACCTTTTCCGTGCACCTTTACGATGCCTGACTGAGACGAACCGCACACCACCGTCAGAAACGTTTTCCGGTGGCGGCCACCGCCCTCTACCTTTCTTCGTTTCCCCTTTTATTTATCTCCTCCTTCCCTCCATATAGCTGGTCGTCCACCTTAGCCATGACGATGCCATGGCAGCGTCTGCCGCGCCGTCGACGTCCGTGGAGGGAGGCGGCGCACAAAAACCCTAGCAGAGCCTCCCCACTCCTTTCACCCTGTTCTATTTTTAGGGTTTGGCCAAGTGCCAACTGATGCCTTTGTTTCCTTCCTTTTTGGGTCAGTATATGGGCTAAGCCCATCCAGCAAACCATTAATGAACTTTTTTTTCAAAAAAGGGATCAAGTGATATTTAACTAAAATAATATATTTTGTAATTGTAATCATAATAACATTATATATATATGAAGTAAGTATACGTATAAAATATATATATAAAAATTGAATCTTTACGTAACATATATATATATTCAATTGTCACGTAATCTTATTATAATAATAATAATAATAATAATAATCATAATAATAATAATAATAATAATAATAATAATAATTTTATTTAATATCATTAATATCTATCTTTTTAAAAAAGGATTATTTTTATTGGCATCCCCTTAATATTAGATGATGATATTTGTTTCTTGTTTTAATAAAACTAGTTTAATTGATTTTATTTGATTAAGTTATTTCTTTATATGAATGTGATAGATATTCACATGATTTTAATTCATTTAGACAACAACAATAATAATAATAATTACTTTGATATCCTCTTATCAATATTAATATTAATTATATTTATAAAAAGAGATTATTTGAATGTGACATTCCTTTAATCTTAAAACTTAAGGAAGTAAGTTGTGATAACTTACTATGTTAAAGTTATTTTTTTTAAATCAAAAAATGCATAATTAAATATCAAAATATTACCACAATATTCAACATAAATATTTGAAATCATTATATAAAAGATTTTATTGGAGGAATGATTAATTAGATGTGACATTTTTTTAACCTTTGAATTTAAAGTACAAGTTGCGACAGCTTATCTTTAAATTTTTCCTCCAAAAACAAAAATGTCCAACCAAGAATTTTTTTTTAACATAATAATATCTATAACAATAATTATAATTAGAATTTTATTAAATTGACTTTGGTGTACACCTTAGTTAATTTTATATTTTTAGGGTGAATGAGCTGAGACAGTTCAAGAATCCTATATTTAACAAAATAAAATTTAATTAAAAAATATCAACACACAAATATTTTCTACCAAAGAACTACGTGACTCTGATTCTTCATTACACATGAAGATACGTAGGAGCAAGAACTAAATCTTGTCGAGCCAAAAAATAAAAAATATATTATTTTCCTTTTTATATAACAATAATAATTTTAACCTTTTATATATATATATACAATAATAGTTTAGTTAAATAAAATATATTTGATTATTTAGTGAGATAAATATTTTTATAAATTATAAATAATTAGTTTAATTAATTAAAGGTAATCGTCTTACAACGAACTTCTAATGATGCTAAATTAAATATTTTAATTATTTTACAATAAATTAAATAAAAATATAATAAAATATGTTAATTGAAATTTTAATAAAATATATTAAAATACTATAACCAAAAGAAATCAAGTATTATATCGAAAGATGAATAATTGATTTAGTATTACTTGATTTAGTATGTATATACCTAATTTTATTTAAATTATATATTGAATTTAATTTTTACGTATGAATTTTTTATTACTGAAACAATTAAATTCTTTGTTTAAATAGATTTACATTATAAACAATATAAATAGTCTATAACAAAAACCACAATATTTTTAAAAATAATGTAATTTACTCCGCCCACATACAAAAATTAATTAAGGTACAAAGTAATCAAATATATTTAAATTTAAATAGGTCAAACTAAAATTTTTACTATAATATCTATTTAGTTTAAAAGCATAGGCTACAAGTTATTTTAAAAAAACAACTTATATTACTCTTAAAAGATTGATCTACCTGAATAAAAATGAATAATATTATTAGTTATTATTATTATTATATTAAATTTAATGACTA